GATTTGCGGAAGGATTTCGGATCGATTGAATCAGTGTATATTCCAATGTACTGGTTCTAGTTGAGGTCTTTCGTCGAGAAGCACTACATGTATGTCTAGTGCTTTTCTAGTAACAGGTTCAGAAATTTTTGTTGGTTACGATTGTCATAATCAGGATATCATTATAGCCCACCTCATGAACTCCTTGATTTGCATAGTTGTTCATGTGATTGATGAGCGTTTGTGTATGCTGTGTTAGGTTACTATTTTAGCAGCTTGGTCGATCTAATTTCCATCTTCTCGCTCTGCTGTGCTAGAGGATGAACGCACCGCTCTTTATTGGTCAATTAATTTCTGTGCAGCATTGTGCACGCACCATTGTTCTCCAATTTAAACGGATATAAATGCTTTTTTCTTCAGTGCTTTTGCGTTGGGGGATATATGGTTATTTAGATGCGTCATATGTGCATTTCCGTTGGACGTCGTCGGATGTTGGAGGTGCACGAGTGATGCAGTATGTTGGAGTTCGAGCAGCTCATTTGGGTGTGTTTGTTCACTGCAATAAAAATATATATATATATAAATAATAATAATAATAATAATAATAATAACAATAATAAAATCACCACGTCGCATTCAAGATTTGAGGGATGCGTTCAGTTCAGGAAAGCTTGAGAGTAGTGTAGAATTGCATTAATTAACTACTGCAACACCTATTTCACATTAATTGTCATCTGTTTCTTTTGTGTTAGAAATGGAACTGAATTCATGCACTGCGCTGTTCTAATGCATTCTACTCGCTGAGTTTGTCAATCAATGTGATTGACATCTTGATGCCAGACACATGGAGACAGTGCAACATGTGTTCGAACAATTTACGAAAAGCCAGCCTTCGTAGGTTATGAACTTGTTTTGCGAGTAAGCTTGGCTTCTAGTGCTTCTGCAGTGATAGGTTTTCTGTATTGATACCTTTCGATATATTCTGAAGTTTCTATGTAAAATAGAATTAGGATTTCTGCTGCGAAGACTACGAACTCCATCTGAAAGCACCAGAATATAACCAGAAGTGGAGACGAATTCGCTGCCAAAACCAAGACATTTACTGGATTTTTAACCTCCTCTTAGTTCGATATTTGTTTGTTGATTGCTGTGAACTTAATTCTTCCTGAACGATACTCTGAACAGCATTCGTACATTTTTGTTATGTTTTCACGAGAAAGGCTCATGGTAATTGACGATGTTGATTGATTACATGGAAGGATCCCGTCGGACCATGAAACTACATGACATTTTCGGCCGACCCTGCTTCTGGGACATGCTCTTGGTACTGGGAAAAACTTTGATTTAAGAAGAAGAAGAAAAAAAAAAAAAAAAAAAAAAAAAAAAAAAAACTCAAGCAATCGGAAACTCGAACGAGATATTTCCGAATCGACCGTTCAGCAACTGGAAAGAGGACCCCGATGAGCATCGTTTCCTTTGCAACTGCCTTCTGCAGTCTAAAATCACGAAGCTGCAAATTTAAGTACGGTTCTTGTAGATGTGTAATCTCATCTCGTTCTTCTCGGCCAAATGTAATCTACGGCCCAATATCTGGGTAATCTGCAGCATGAGCCCATTACTGAGTCAACTCAAGTCGTGCTCCTCAGTATCGCTTCCCTACACTACATCACATATTTGATTGATTTCATGCAACTATGAATGACAATGTTGGACTACAACACAACCCTGGTCGCTGTGCAGGAAACAAGAACAGTTCGATACGTTCGAGCCGCAAATTTGGTCTTCTCAATATCATCCATGTCCCAGCAACATAATGTTGCTTCCGAACTTCATCAACAGTAAGTATTTGACTGAAGTCAATCTGTGAGAACGGAAAATCCAGGAATCGACACAACGATGCTCACCATGATCACTCCATGATTCAAGACTTCGTGGGCACCGCAGCGTTGCAGGGACTAAAAACAACCAAAATACCAACTCCCCCATCTCCACCAAAATTATTAGACGTCACTGGTCAGAAATATCTGCTAAATCTCTGCACTACGCGACACCATCGACTGGACACTGTGTTGACTTCGCAACAGCTTCCGTCCGTGCTCCGCTTTAGAGAAGGAAAGCACCCGATCAGAGCCTCCCTGCATGCGTCGATCGCATCTCGAGACCTGCATCTGACCACCCTCTTACGAAACCGTGTAGCACTCCCGAATCATGGGAAGATCGGCACAGGCTTTCGAAGACCAACAGCTGGGGATCGATCGATGGAAGATTGTGCACTGAGAGTGAATGTAATATTCCACCCTTACATCAGTCCACCATTCCAAAGTAAAAAACTGAAGATCCCTGCCAAACCAGTTTGAGCTTCAAATCTGGCGGCTTCGCAGTTGATGGATCACTTAACCCGTGGGAGCCACATGTAAAACTGTAGCTCTGCGAAAGCCTAGTTGTGGAGCCCACTTGCCATCCAGAGTACCCCCACTATTGCTCAGGTACCCCTTTCACAGTTATCGTGTTCCTGTATGAAGATCCTTTGCTTCGCCTTCTGCTTTCTAAATACATGTATTGAACCATATTAAATATATAATAAGATCCGGAACACAAGACCAGTGGGGTTGTAGAATTAGAAAAGCTCCTCCACACGTGCAGTAAATCAAAGATAAAAACACAGCAATGGTGTTATGAAGGCATGACAAGCATCGGCACGATTTCGCCTAAGAACAGGTACCCAGCTCGCACTCTGAGCAATTAAAAAATAAAAATAAAAAATAAGGTTAAAAAATTAGGGTTTATTAAAATGCACTGGTGCGTGTAGTCCATTTTGTAATGTTTCTGTTCATCCAAAGCTAGGCGCCATAGCTGAAGGAAGCTTGGCGTGCAGATACTTCTGTTGAAAACCGGGAAGAGATATACCCGCGAGGATACCGCGACCATTCCTGCAAGGAAGTAGGAACCCGGTTGCTATTTTTTTCCCGCGTTTCCACGTCGGCAGGCAACAGTGCGTCGACGTGGAAACTGCTGGATGAGGTGGGTGGTGGTAGAATTGGGCAAAGTTAATGTGCATTGAAAGGGGCTGCCTTGAAAGCGCTCATTCATGATCCGCCCATGGGGAATCAGAATCTTATTGTGATGGCGTTGTTCTGTCTCGTGCGATGGACTCTTTGTTGTTGGGTGGATTCCACTTGTGCCGATGGGGCTGTGCAAAAATGACAAACCCTAAACCCTAATTAGGAATTCCTTAAGCATGAGCAAAATAGAAGGTGAGAATGACATACCTTGATAGACAAAACATCCTCTTTTGTTGCATGGACTACCCAATTGTTGTACCAAGTGATTATAAAAAATAAAAAATAAAAATAAAAATCTACACATGAAGTAGAATCAATGTTAAGGCTATGGGTGCATGGTTTTCCAAGTTTAAATAGTTACAGATGATGGGGACAAATAAATGAATGAATACACACGTAGTTTATTTGCTCTCGTGCACACAAGATGGGCTAGTGCTTTTCAAACTCAATTACTTCCAAAAGAGGAGATAAAATAATAAAAAATGTCTTGGAGTATGTGTGAACAGATCACAAAGAGATTTTTCATTCGTGTTTTTATTTACTTGTTCATTACATTTAAGGTTTTTTTTTTTTTTTTTTTTTTTTTTTTGACTCCCTGAAGGTCAATATGAATGTGTGTAAATTTTGGAAATGGATAAAAAGTGTACTATTAACTTCAATTGTAGTATTCTTTCTGAATACTAGTTTCTTTGTTTTTGTTTTTTGATTTAGTTTTCTTTTCATATGTTATTATTATAATTCCCTCTCTGAAACAAAAAATAAAAAATCATCTTTTAATGACATGGTGAAGTGTAAAATCATCTGCACTTTCAAATCGAGAAATGCGCCTTGCAAAGCAATTATGGGATCAAACAGTTTCAAGATATCAAATACATTATATTATTCTGATTTTTATTAGTATTGCGAAGTTGCTTTATCTCCCAAAATGTGGTTGCCAGATATGCAAATATGAGTGCATTTTATTCACGAGATCCGTGCTGTGTGTGATACTAAACAACGAAGTTCAGTATTTCATTTCACGTTCATTTTATTTTTACGTTGTTATTATTTTTGATTTACAAAGCATAATTACCTCGTTCATTGTAGAATCACCTCGTTCATGGCAAAGTTCATTATTTCTTACTGATGAAACTTTCCTATCATAAAAAAAATAAAAAAAATAAAAAATCACAATTATTATTTTTATTGCTAACATGACAAAGATTCATTTTCAACTGCAAATTTTATGTACTTACTTTAAAGATTAATCAGACCTTGGTTTCAATTAGTTTCATAATAGTGCAGTTAATTATTTTTTTCTGTCTTCTTTTAGTCGATGAAGTTTTCACGTATTCAAAAAATTTCAAAAAATAATCTATTCCATTGAAAAATAAAAATTTCCTTGGACAATATCAAATATCATAACTCACTCACACACCTTTAAAACACATTGTTTGGCCATACAAAAAGGAGTATTATTATTGTTTTTAATTTTTCAATTTTTATTTTACTTTCTAGATAAATCCATCAGCAACATTGGGTGCTACCAACAAACACCCATGTTTTGTTTCACAAGTCATGCAATAATTTATTTATTTATTTGTTTTATTTGTATTAAGGGGCCTCAACGGTCTTGGGCCCCTCAAACCTCAAAGAATTAGAAGGACCGATCATAGGGGGTCGAGTGGGACCTTGTTCCCCGCGTGATCACCAAGGGGAACGTGTCGGCGCTCGGAGGGGAACGAGTGAGGAACGGCGCAATGCGCGTGGGGAGCGCAAAAGCACCGACAAACCCGGCCCGTCGTCACATATTCCAACGAGGAGCTTCGGTGAACGTTCGAGGACGAAGAGAGACGAATAACGGCGCAGGTGGACGATTGGGACGATTGTCGTCGACTTCGACGGGGGAGAGGACGATCTGTTGGAGAAGAGGATGAAGAACGGGGAGCCTTTGAGGCCTCGTCGGTCGCGGAGCCGCGGAAGAAGTCGCAGGTTGGCTGCCTTGCTCCACACTTTCTTGCCCCGAGATCGCTTCCTCGCGATCGCACGGTCGTTCCTGCATAGGCTCTCGTGTCTCCATTCATCTCCCACGATTCTCAACGACCTTTGAAACGCCGAAATCGGTGCAGAAACGCGCGCGGAAGGGGAGGTTCTACCACGCCGTCGGACGCTTGGCCCTTGACGAGGTTGTTCCTTTTTTTGCCTTCGAGAATGCTGGGTTTGGTGTTCCCGGTGACGTGCAAACTGGTTTGAAGGTTTTCTTGTGAAAGAGCTTGTGCAGATTGGGGGTGTGTTGTCTATGTCCCAGCTGATCGCTAGAAGAACAAAGTTAAAATTTGTTTTGGGAAGGGAAGCTTGGCTTGGTGATTGTCAGGGTTGGGGCGGCTCCTGCTTAAGTTCGTTACTGGGTTTGTCTCTTGGTTCCCATTTGGTTCGAAATTACCTACAATTGGGTGAAGCTTCAATTTGGGGGGTTATCTACCCGAGGTTTAACAGGGTGGCTCTTCAGCTTATGGGGCTTCTGGATCGTCTTGTTGGTTCTGGTCACGCATTCTGAAGAAAGACCATGACCTACTATTGTTGGGTTTTGTAGTTTAAGTGAAGAAGGGAAGGACGTCAGAGTGTTGGAGAGGTTAGCATGCAGAAGTACAGGTTTTATCTGGCTTGGAGCAAGCCTGCGGTCTCGTAGGGCGTTGTGCACCCCTCCGTACCCCCCTGCCCTGGCTGTTTGGTCAACTGAGGCATCAATAAGAGTTGAAATTATGAACACCGTAGTGCGTAGGTGCTGTCAACTCAGGGATGAAACTATGGTTGGATCATTTTAAGGATAGAGGGCAGTAGATAGGGTCACGTAAAGGGGTCAGATGGAGCAAACAAGAAGTTGGTTCAATCGGTTCCAACCAAGGGGTGACAGGTTGAAGAGTAATGAGTCCAAAAAAAATGGCTCGGGATCAGACAGTGGCAAGGATCTTCTGAGGACTGCTGGATCAGACCAGGATGTAGGCGATGAATTACCCTCAAGTATCACCAGGCAGAAAGTAGCAGCTGCGAAGCAGTATATAGAGAACCACTACAAATCGCAGATGAAGAATTTGCAAGAACGGAAACTACGGTATTCATGCTGTCTTCAATTCCCTTCTTCGTGGCATTCCGTCCTGTTGAATGTTCCATTCGTTTTCTTTAAGAAGATCTTTTGAGTCGTACATAAATCAACTGGGGTCACAAGAAGCACATTCTGTAAACAGTTGGGGCAATGGACATTGTTGAGCCGGTTATTCTCTTTCGTACACGTGAATTACAATAGAGTCCAAGACGGAGGAAGACGGAGGACGTGAGGTATATCGTTCTGTTTTGAGGGATTGGAACTCAGGAGGTCGTTTTGTTTGTGGTTATGAGCTTTGTGGCTTATCTGCTAGCCTAACTGGATGATAGTAGAATTCCATAATGCTTACAACAGTTGGTGGGTGGACGTCATCAGACGGTGGTCATTAGAGCGCAAGCTGGCAGATGCCGACGTTACAGAAGAGGAGCAGAATAATCTTTTGAAGGATTTGGAGAGGAAAGAAACCGAGTACATGCGTTTGCAGCGTCATAAAATGGGAGTGGAAGATTTTGAATTGCTAACCATCATCGGGCGTGGCGCATTTGGGGAGGTATGTGTCCCAAATCTGAACCTTCTGTTCATACATTACTAATTTACTGAAATGCCCCTCAGGATTGTCAGTATTCTATGTCGACAAAATTCTGCGTCATTGCCCTCTCTGTGGCAGCAAGTCTTCTGAAATTTCAGCTGAAACCTACTGCATTTCTGTTGTAACATGCGAGGTGTCATGGATTCAGGGGCAATGTCGGTGCTAGGTAAGATAACTTGTGTCTATTATGCACGCTCAGGTGAGGTTATGCCGAGAGAAATCAAGTACAACTGTGTATGCCATGAAGAAGCTGAAGAAGTCCGAGATGCTTCGGAGAGGCCAGGTACGTCACGTGTATATATGTGGAAGTTGTTTATAGAATTGTATCTGTCTTTATTTGCCGTTTGCCAAAATCATATAACTCTGAAGAATCGACTGAAGGTCAAATCTGGAGTTATTGTTATGTTTTGTTACTCACTTTAGTAATCGAAATCTGAAGGGGATTACTTTACCATTTTAATCAATGGATAAACACTATTGCAGGTGGAGCATGTAAAGGCAGAGAGAAATTTGCTTGCAGAGGTTGACAGTAACTGCATAGTGAAGTTATATTGCTCCTTTCAAGACGAGAAGTACTTGTACTTGATTATGGAATACTTACCAGGGGGAGACATGATGACACTCCTCATGCGTAAGGACACACTCACGGAAGACGAATCCAGATTTTATGTTGGACAATGTGTTCTGGCTATCGAGTCAATTCACAAACACAACTACATTCATAGGTACTTGAGAGTGTAATTGCGATCCCTGGTTAGTTATTTGGTCTTAACTTCTATTTTGTGTGTGACATACTCAATTCGATCAACAGAATATTCTTTGGGACGAATGTGATCATTTTAAGAAAGAATTTTTGAATGCGCTCAATTTGTACTCGTGTTAAGAGCTTGGTATGAAGGACTCTCTCGTGTTCACTGATGCCTGTTTATTTGAAATTGATGTTCCGCTTACTTTTGACTCCAACATCTACTGGTTTGTGTACCAGAGATATCAAACCGGACAACTTGCTGTTAGATAAGAATGGGCACATGAAGTTATCTGATTTTGGCCTCTGTAAGCCTTTGGACTGCTCCAACTTGCCTGCCTTACAAGAGTACGATCAATCTGGCGACATTGGCAGGGATCCCGCCGATCCCAGGCAGTACAGATCTGCATCTCCCCTGCCGAGGCGAACACAGCAGGAGCAGCTCCTTCACTGGCAAAGAAATAGACGTATGCTGGTATTTCTTTTTGCTTACATCCTTCCTCCCCAACACTGTTCCTGAATTATATGTTTTAGTTTCAGCGTCCGGGATGGCACTTGTATACATTCTCTGTAGATGTAGGACCTGCAGCTCCATGATGTTCTACTACTCTTTGAGCATCTAGTTTTCAGGTTTTGACACAAGGTTTCAACAGGCGTATTCGACAGTCGGCACTCCAGACTATATCGCTCCGGAAGTACTGTTGAAGAAGGGTTATGGGATGGAGTGTGACTGGTATGTAGCAAGTTGTGCTCCTTGGCCCCTGAATGCATTTCCTAGCTTTTTAAGTTGTTTTTTTTCCGGAGGTTTGAACGTAAGTTTCTCTGCAGGTGGTCATTGGGAGCAATCATGTACGAGATGCTGGTTGGGTACCCTCCATTTTACTCCGATGAACCTATGACAACATGTCGCAAGGTGTGTAACAGCCTCTATTCATCTGCGTGGATTCATCCGCTCACACGAAAAATCTCTATCTGTGAAGATGGTTCTTCCAGCTTTCGAATTCTCAGATCTGTCGCCATAGAAGTATATTACCACGGTCTCTTATTGGTTTAGTTGCATGTTGGAGACTGGGCATTTTGGGTTCTGGGGGTTCTTGGATTAAATTATTATTGGCGGTTGAAAGTATTGGATGTTTGGGGTGGAATAGATCGTGAACTGGAGAAACAACTTGAAATTCCCGGACGAAGCGAAGCTAACACCAGAAGCGAAAGATCTTATCAGTAGATTGCTTTGTGACGTGGAGCACCGCCTTGGCACCAGGGGTGTTGCTGAGATTAAGGTATTCTTATCCTCATAGAAAGGATAATCTTCTCAACAATATATAATACAAGAATCTAAACCCAAGCTTATTTTCACTTTACGTAACTTGATTGCCAAAAACCGTATCGTACAACGAACTGATGGAAACTGTCAGGTTGTCTAATGACCCTTTAAGTATACATTATTTCCTCGTTTCTGAATACTTTCGTCTATGTGCGGAGATCTATCGAGCCCTGAGTCTCACGTAACACTTTTGTTATGGCTTCGGCAGAACCATCCATGGTTCAAAAACCATGGATTACCTTGGGATAAGCTGTATGAGATGGATGCAGCTTTTAAACCTGAGGTGAAAGATGAGCTGGACACTCAGAATTTTGAGAAGTTCGAAGAGGTCTGGCATCCTTCTTACACCACCCAATCTATATATTACTGTCGGCTTGAGGTTATGTTATGTAGGTAGGTGTACTGTGAATCATGGATATCTGGTACTGTTCTAGGGTGTGCGCACAGAAGCCTACTCTTTTTCTACCTTACACCCTTTACCCTATACAATGTCTTCACCCTCCAACACTCTATTTTTGTGGACCTGAGATCGATGATGCACATTGAAACCCGTTATTTGCAGAGCGATTCCCAGATACCATCATCCACAAGATCAGGACCATGGAGAAAGGTACACATTCTTTCAAAGTATTCTATGATCTATTTCTATCCAGAATGCTGGTAGTTCGACAGTTTTTGTCTTGAGCATTGCCATGGAAAGCATTCTAGGTTAGAATTGTATTTTTATAAGTTGTGATAGTGCTACTGGCTTAAGCTTCGAGGAATGGGGAATAGCTTGAAGCCTAACAAATTTTTTTGTGAGATCAGATGCTGTCGTCAAAGGACGTGAACTTTGTAGGGTACACGTACAAGAATTTCGAGATTGTCCAGGATGCAAATGTTCCGGGCATCGGTAGGTTCTTGGACATGGTTCGAATTTCATGAAGAATTACCAGAGACTGATATTCTTTAGAGGAGTTCAATTTTTTGCATGTTGGTTGTTTACCCTGTTTATTGAAATTATACTTATTTGTTCACCAAGCTAGATTGTTGTGGACTAGTTCTCATCAACATATTTTGAACATGCACAGCGGAGTTGAAGAAGAAAGGAAAGTCAAAGAGGCCATCCATCAAGACACTCTTCGGTAAAATACTTCTTAACACGCTGGTTTAAGTCTTCTAGTAATTGCATCATGGTCTTTTTGTAATTTACAACGCTAACCGTCGGCTTGTTACCTCATCCTATACCCTGTTACAAGAAGTTATATGAACAAATATTATGACAATACGGGTGGTTTCTGTGAAGTGCGCAATGACAGTATGCTTGTTTCAGTGAAAAATATTTACACGTTCTATTTTGCAGATTCAAATGGAGGCCCTAATGGCCACATTCAAGGCAGCTTTCTCTGCCACCTGCCTACGCCTATTGAGATTTCGGAGAGTCCTGAAACTTCACCATCTGGCAGCATTTCATCACCACTCCATCCGAACTCGACCTACTACAAGCCACCACCACCGATGTATCCATATCAAAGTCATGCTCGATAAATAGCCTTATGCCTCTCCTTCATTCATTTCAAAGTATTGTGCGATTGTCAGGAACCCAGTAACATGTCTGCATGCCTACTTGACACTGAGGTTTGCGGTTCTATATTTCGTCCCAAAGGGCTCACCATAGGATCGACACAATGATGTACTTAAGACTTAATGGATATGACACAAGTGGGTTGAGTGTAAATGGTCTGCATTTAGATACACTTTTCTTTTTCTTTTTCTTTTTTTCAATTTTTTAAACTCGGGTTGATTCATTTAAAAGCGGTGTCTACCTTTGAAGTTGGTCAGGACCATAAAATAAAGTGAATTAGAATATAGTTTTGTAGGCGCTGGTATGCGACCATACTTATCTTCCGTTTGAAGTAAATTTGTGCATAACTCTTTCAAAAAGCTTGTATCATGGTCCTCGCTTATTTTTTCTTCCTAAATTGGTCACATGATCGTGGGAAATTACGTATTGTGATCCAGATTCAAAATCTTCATAGTTTGCAGTGTGCTTGGATGTGGACTGTGTGATAATCTACACTGGGTAGATGAAGGTTCGCAGCACTTGAATTTGTTTTGCAATATGATAAGTCTTTGCTTCAACATAAAGTATTAACTAGACTATAGACCTTGGATTGGTACAGTAGGTATGTGTGTTGTCTACAGCTTCCTAAGTAGGCGTTTCACTTTATTTGTAAGTCTTCCCACCAGATATGTCGACTCATGTCAGCTATTTTCAATAAAATAAGACTTTGTTTTATTTTGCTTCCTTTCATTCATGAAATATTTTACAGGGAATTTTTTTAAAAAACCATTTCTTGCTTGTACCCACAACTTGCCAAGTCTAGACTCCATACTCTGTTCACCTTCTATTCCACAATCTCAGACATAATCATACATGAAGTTATAGCCAAAAGTGGTCGATCTAAAAAAGAATATGGTTCACTAAATTATTCTATCTATTTATCCATATATTTTATCAACCACCAATTTTTGCAATTTCCATGTGCTACAGAACCACCATACACTTGAGATTTCTTACAACAATATTCCTGTTTTTTTAGATGAGACATGATAGATTTTGAAGTTTGTAACCAAAGACAATGTCTTGTGGATGGACATACTTATTGAACATTCACCCAATTCAAAACTTTGGACAAGTTGAAGATCCTTTGACTTGCATGTAGATGATTACCCTTAAAAAATAAACATTTGGTGCAAAATAGAAAAAAAGAGCCATAAGAACAATGCCAATTTTACAAGTAAAACCTGATCAATGTAAGAATCAATGTCATATTGTACTTATCTACCACAAGTGCTATGACCTAGTTTGGTTGTTCTTTGATAACTTTAAGTACATGTATAAAAAGGATCTTATTCCTACTTGTTGCTCCTTGAACACAAACCCATGCTTGAAGAATAACAAACCAGAGGCAAAACCATCCACCCAAAACGTCACTCTATGAATGATCATCTGGACATTCATTTACGACACAATAGGTATAAACCAATACATGGGCACACATCTGTGACAAGGGCGATCTGTCAAAAGCAATGTTTCCATCGCTCAAAAAGCCAAGAATCCTAAACTACTATGACCTCATGCTAACTTTTTTCCTGTAAGAAGAAAAGGCTTTAGAAAATGGCTCAAAGGACAGCCTCCCAAAGGAGAGAAAAAACGAGGAAATAATGCCGAATCATAGAGCTATCGAACTGAGATCATTGCAGACAGGGCCCCACACAAGCTTGTGTTTCAAAATCCCAACAACAACGAGGTCAATGTTTTCACCTCGGCAGCCATTCAAAAGCTGCGCTAGTTTTTTTTCCAGACGATGATGTCATCAATTTAAAGTCTAGAATCTTTCGTTGCTTATTGGCTCAGTACACTTGTGAGAGGCAACAACACCAAAACAAACACACAAGCAAGTAAAAACAAAACACTCTTTGTCAAAGTCCTTTTGTTGATGCGAATATGACAAGACCAGTCAAGCAGTGGGAAGAGAAAGCTAACCCAGGAATCATAGAAAATTAAACAATGGTCGAGAATGCGGAGCCCCAGCAAGTTATTGCGACCAGTGCATCATCACAGAGCGAGAGAGTATGCAGCTTTAATGAGTAGTCTCCGACTCGGACCTTGACCGAAGATCTGGTTGCTGAGCTTTGTGTTTTCTCACTGCAGAAGGAGAGGTTTTCGAAGCTATTACCTGATCGTAGCTTTCAGCTTTCCTGGATTTGAATGGCTTCGTGGGTGCTTGGTGGTTGTTTGGTTGAATTTTTTCTTTTTATTGCTTGCCAGCTGCAAAGCAGTAGAGTGGGAACCCCGCATGGATTTGGAAGGACAGTAGATAAATGCCCACCCTAGGTCGATCAGAGCTGGGGAGGCTCGGGAGTGGGTCATAAGCAAAACGCTGTGGTCCTCGAGCTCATGATGCACACCCACCTGAAAGGATGTTATTGATTTAATAGCCTGTCGCCATGATTCACTCCTGCACGCATGGATTTGTCATTTCGTCGCTCCTACTTCAAAAGAGTTGATGAGATCACATCCTGTGTCCAGTCTCCTGAGCGTGTCTGTAAAGGATGGGATGTTGCGCTTCGGTCATCTCCTAGATGCCGACCTCACCAACCGTTTAGGGGGTGAGACGCCTCCAATGTTATCGTGTTTTGGAAGTACACATGAATTAAGTCTCGACACCGAGGAGACTGTCCTCAAACTTCGCAGGACGGGTGCCATATTTTTAGATTTTGTATGGAAGGTGAATTTGTTGGAGAGGATCATCGCCAAGTGTACCAACTCCGTGTGACGGGTTCATGAGATGAATGTTATCAGCCCTCTGCAATGTTTAGTGCAGGGAGTGAGAGGCATGGAAAGATGGGTGTGAAAATGATGGCTATCTTTTAAAGTGACTAAAGTGATTGTGAATGTTTTGCCTTCTACACGCCATCATTCTGCACTGGTAATAATCAGTGGTCGTTGTGGACTAGAGATTGTTGAAGAACCATGGGCAGCTCCTTCTTCGAATCTCATCATATGGACGCATCAATTAACTTACAACAATGTAGGATTAACATTGTTGTAGAATCTTATTGATGAGTTCATAGTGAGATGATCTTATGTCATGACAGCTTCTACGACAGCAGAAACTGTAGGGTGCACTCGCACATCTTACATGTTCGCTCCCAATTCACCTAGTCGTGCCGGGTTTTGGCACCACAGCATCTGTCGACAATATGCTAGACCGAGAGCTACTTGATGACAATGTTTCAGAACCCTACTTCAACATAAAATATCAAGCCGAGAAGGGGAAATTTTAAAAAAATAATAATGGCATGTGAAAGTCAAGCATGAAGGTCTGTACTAGTCAATGGTCTTGATGACAATTAGAGTGTACACAAAATTGAAGACCATGGTATCGAACACAATACTCCTCCACTGTAGTAAAGGATCTTGTAAAAGGTACCCAAACAATGACTATCCCTACGTGTAAGGGACGTATCATCACTCTAGAGCTGCTAGAAGCTGGCGATTTGGAAAACTCAAACCTGATGTGCAGCCCGTCATTGAAGCGGGTACGTCAAGTTCGCAGACAAACCATAAGCTTTTCTCTGTTGCCCAAGGAGCCTGCCTCATGGAAACGGTGGAGAGACTCCGCATCCAGCCGCATAAAAAGGTAGGTTCCACTAGGATCGGTTGCTTCGCTTAAAAGATGGAAGTAACCAGAGGGTAATGTAAGCGTATATGTTTAATGCTAAATTAAAAAAATATATGGCAAACGGAGCTTCTAAATACATCTTTTTGAAAAGGAAGTAGCAGCTGATGACAGGCCGTTGCGCAGATAGTCATCTCATCTGGCTAAAACCATCGAGTTATTCCAGGAATCGAAGGCGGCATGCAATGACTTGTTGGAGTAGTCATCTGTTGCTACACCCAATGTCGTCAATGTATCCCGAAGCTGCTGAATTCTGGACGGGAATGTCATGATTGAATCTACACCTGCTTCCACGTCCCTTTGCTTCAAGTTTTCCTTGATTGACACGTCCCATCTGCGAAACGATTATCATCCACAAGTAAGACTACCACAACCACTCGGTTCTATCCAAGATTCAAAAACTAATACATGCACCATGCTGATCAACTTGAAGAGCTAGAGCGGATTCTTACCTGTCTAGATTGACAACAGCTACAATGAGAGCAGGGGTGGTCAAGCAATTACTTTCTGGATCAGACAGCTGCATGCTGCGAATCTCGCGAACCAGATCATAATTCTCGGATCTTGCAAGGGACAGACTGATGAAGATGACAGAGAAGCCTTGGGAATCGTGCATGCTCCGCTCTAACCGCCACAGAGCTTCAGTTCCATCGCACGCGCAGGAGACGTCAAACCCACAACGCTCTGGCATGAGGGTGAGGGATTTTCGGCCACGCGGGTCGAGCTGCTCGGCATATTAATACTGCCGACACTTCCTACTTCTACAGGAGAGCCTTGATTACTATTACACCAACCTTGACAGCACGCAGACGTACCCTCTTCCTCTGACTGCATGCGCGCTTCGTCGGAAAAGAAGCTCTTCTGAGCTGCAAACATCTCTTCGGACCTTTCTCCCCTATTTAAATAAGGAGAAAGAGGTTTCTCCAGCACCGTCAGGAACCGATACTCACCACCTGGGGGGCTGCCACATTCATTATTTAGCTCATCATCTACGGCCAAAAATACATAGAACGTCATACTGCTGTACAGGACAAATGAAATGTGCGCTAAGAAAAAAAAAGTAAAACTTGGTGTAAGATAGAGACAGTGTAAAGACAGAACTTACCTTACCTTCGAGATCGAGGTTTGTAACTTCGTCAATATGCTCCAAATTGCAATCTGCTTCGTAGTCAGAGCCTTTGGCCGCAGATGCACCATAAGGCATGATAACACAAATCGCTCCGGAGACAACACCTTTAGCATCCATGCGAGGGCTCGCAACTACAAGGACCTTAATCTGCTCACCCCATTTGGTCTTGAGGTCCCAAACTTCTTGAGAGGTAGTGTGGCCATCTAAAACAACTTTAAGCACGTCCTTCATCAAGCCCTTTGGGTAAGAAGACCCGCTGCTGAACAATACATCGTGAAACCTTGGCATAGCAAAGATCTCGGATTCTGGCCAACCGGTAAGATCTGCGGCACGTCTGCAAGTAGGATACAACATCTGCTCTGAATGAACGGAACACTTTGACCAGAGGTACGAGGACATCTCTTGATAAAATTCGAATCAGAAGGGCGAGGACTAACTTAAGCCACGACAGTCTCACGATTCTAGTGGGGATAGTATAAAGGGACCAAGGCAGCAACCCTGGACAATTATTCAGATCAAAAGTGCTTAGAGCGACGTAGAGGGCGTAAAACATGCAATGCTAGTTGTTCAGAGTGGAGGTTCTTGAGCGTCTTGCATGACAGAATTGGTTGAGTGAACGAAGTCAAATTCAGCACAACCCCACAAGGATCGTACATGTAAGATCCATTTCAAGCCACCTCTGCCCAGCAATGTTAACTTCAACGATGAGTCATTACCTACATCCTCGAAAAATTGTAATCAAGTCAAATAATTTTCCAGGGAAGGAAGCTCAACATTGAGAAAACCCCTTCATTCCACTTGAGAAGAACTAATACAGACACGAGAGCAAAAGAGCGTCAGAGTAGGTCTAAGGACTCACTTGTTCCAAAGAAGGCAGCGCAAGTTGAAGTCTACATTAAACATAGGCACGGGTATCTGGTCGGCGTAGACGAGAGAGTGACACCGCTCAATTTTCTCAGAGACAAGAGTTGTGTGCTTGCCCGCAAGCTCCATCACAAACTCTACCGCGGCCCGCTGATGGTCTTCCTCGCCCGCGGAGTTGCAACGAGGGCTATCCATTGTAGGGAAAACTCCTCCAGAGATAGAGCGGGACGCACCTACCCTTTCGTACCCAGACTCGAGAAACATCGTCAGATCCCCCCCTCTCAGAAAATCCAGCAACGCTAGCGCAACACAGTCGCTCCTCCAACCACGACCGCGCTTCCAAATTTCAATGCAAAACACGCTGACACACACTCGGTTTGCTCTCCTCACCCCTCAGACGCAACCCGGGTGTCGCAACTATTCTCCCCCGGCAACAACAACAACCCTCGAAGTCCACAGCAACGTCGTGCACGCTGCATTGGCGAATTAAGCTGCATTGGGGAGTCACTGCATTCCCGAATTGATGATTTCACACACTCGTGCATTGGCGGGTCACGGCATGTTTTAATGGTCGATTCGGCGCATTCGTGCATTGGCTCAACAATGTTCCCCAAACCCAGAAACCCCTTCCTTCATCAACATTCACAACTCCAACACACCAACCTCCGTTCAGTTCAAATACACCCCTGAAAGCCTTCAACCAAAACCCGGGAATCCCACTCCATGATTTAACCAAAGCTGTACACTACTCGCCGCCAAGCACAGGCCCACTCTTCCCTCACACACGCTCCGCCCACGTTCAAAATATCGCAGATCAACCAAAGAATCGAACAAGAGTGCCCCAGTCCACAGTCGTCCGCTAGATCTGCGCCTCACACACTACACAGAGTACCAAATGGATAGATCCAGGGATCAACGGAGAGCTCACGAGGCGAAGTCGACAATAAAGGCGATGATAGCGGGCGAATTGGCCGCGAACAAAGCAGGATGCAAGCAGACAAGCGAGCACGTAGTAACTGACGACGCTACCTCCCTGGTCGCTCTTATAGTACCACAGCCCTGATGTCGCCGCTCCTCCGTAACGGGTGGGAACAAAAACCCGCTCTCGCCCCCACATTCCCGCCCGAGCTGCCCGGAAGCAAAGCCAGGCGCGTCACGACAAAACTCTGCCCTGCCCGCCATAGATTTAAATAGCTAATTCAACATGGAGCGAGCCAGAGGATGAGAATCAGGCTACAGAGCCCCTTGGCTTACTTGGCATGCCAGACAGGAGTTTCTTTCCCTCCTTGGGAACGCACCTCCCCGCGCTGGGAACGCTCAGGGAGCCCGCAACGGAACTCGTTCCTCTCGTTCCCCTTCGCCCCTATTCGAGTCTCCCAGAGTTCGCTCTTGTGACCATCCTCGTAGTTTCGTCCAACTTGCCTACCCCGTATAAGACAAGGTTTTGACTTGTGAAGGTTTCTCATCCATCCACTACGAAGCTATCGTCTCGTTCATTCATCGTTATTGAGTTGTAGGCGTAAACCAAGATATTAACCCCCCCGTTCAAAACCTCTCCACCTTGCCCCAATCATAAGACGGCGACAACGTTTTAAAGGTTGAGGTTGGTTGTGGAAGTGTGCGAATTTCATCCAAATTTGAGGATGAATGATAAGCATAGGTTTCCCACGTCACTAGGGGCAGGGAGGTCTAGAAGGTTCCATCGGTATCCATTTGTCTGGAGAAGTTCCGTAGGCTTAGGGGTGGAGGCCATTTAAGAGCAGATTCTAGTGAAAGTCCCGCTAGAATTTGCCCCTTGGTCAAATTATTCCCCATGGATTGAACAACCGATGATATTCCCATTAATGCGTCTGCCAGTCCCGATGCTCCATCTTATCCACACCCTAATCTTAATTAAGGTCTTCTCGATCCAATCTGATATTCTCTAATTAGGGCCAGCTATTAAACTTACGGAAGCCTTTTTTTATCCCTTAATTTATTATTTTATTCTTTCGTTATATTTTTATATCACTTTTACTTGTTTAATTTTGAGTGGAGACATGCTTTCACCAATGTATAGGAATAACTCACATTTAAATAACTTCAAAAGTCTAAAGTATTTCATCCATTCATAACTTTTATCATGGATCACAATTTCATGGTTAAATTAGGTTTAATGAAGCCCTTGGGGTTGATAACAAATGAAAGTCATCCAAATCATCCTTACCATAGGCCCTTGTGTACTGCCAGTTTGGATGAAAAACATCCAGCATGCTGATGGTACTTATCCTCAAGATAAGCTTGCATGCAGTGATATCTGTAATGGGGCCCTCTGAACATAAGAAAATTGTAATCTATTCTTTAAGATTATTACTCATGGGGGACAAAAGCTCATTAACAAGATTAAAGTAATTGCTAAAATTTCATCCATCCATTGTTTTGCGTGTGTGTATATTATTATATAACTTTCTATTCTCTCTCTCAATATGTAACATAAAATACGATCATGCTTCAATCATTGGATGATGTCGTTTAATGTCGAGCTTCACAAAATTCTAGGTATCATTGTTGAAAAGTGTTATTTATTTTAAATGTAATTGTTTATATTTATTTGTTTATTTTCGTGAATGGTATTAGTTAGCATGGATTATCCGTTCATTATTTTGTATTGTTGCATTAACTTTGGATAAGGAATCAAACTAGATATGAGTACGATCAATGGTCAAAATTAAACACCTGCATGAATGATTGTACTTTCCCACACTATTAGTAATAACTCGTAAAATTTTGTATGTGGAATCATGTGTAATTTTTTATAATAGGAGGCGATAATGATTTGTTGACGAGTTGGTAGCAATGCTACAAAGTTGTGTATTTGAGTGCTTTGATTTATTTATTAAAGAACATTGTATGTATGTATGTATACATTTACATATACACACACACATGCATATATATATATATATATATATATACAAATTGAGCAACAAGTGGAATCTTACAAATTCAAGTCATGAATCTTCGAAGGGTATAAATTATTTGCGGTAACTGAATGTGGTGGTTAGACCTTTATCTTAAACATCCTGTGATCTTGTAATATTTTTTTAAATTGCAGTAATAAAATGTTCCAAGTTACATATTTCTCATTGCATTATCTATTATTTTAAAAAAATATATTCCATTTGTTTAAATTTTAAAACCAAAGAAGACTTGATTGAATAGACTAATATTTGATATACTCATGTAAAAAATGTTGTTGGAATTACAATATTTTTTAATAATCACTACAAAAATGATTGTATTTAATTTTTGTGATTTTGCAAGAGTGTCAATTTGACTATTTCCAAGAGTATTATACAATATGGTTTCAATTTTATTTTAAGCATTATAATCAAAACCAGATACTGTTGATAATTTTAAGTACAACTACATTACATAAATTTGAAGTGTTTCAATTATAACTATTATTGTCTCTTTAATAAACTTATTTTACATACTGCCATAAAAAACAGTGCATTCAGTGTCTAGTGAGTTTTTAGTATCATTGATTTAAATTGCAGAGTTTGAACCATACAAATGTACACAAATATTTGATATGTGCATATATATATATATATATATATATATCTATGATAAATCTTAAAAATAAGAATATATATTACTATAATAAGAAATGTTATCCTTGTTATCTATTGTTTTAATGATTTAAGATTTGATGATGTCTTCAAAAATGTGTAAACAAGTGATTGAACATATATATATATATATATATATAACTAGATAGCAATAAAGCTGTAATACATATTCTTAACAGAATAATATTGCAAAATTTGTAGATTCGAAATTCCCCAACATCAAAATTTAATAAATATTTGAATAATATTTGAAATTTATAAAGCTTTGGTAGTAAAATATATAATATTTATTATTATTATTTTATAAAATATTCAAATATTTACTATTTTTAATTCAGAAAAATATATTAGATACTACTTTTATGATCTTGTGACATACAGAAAGTTTCACTTATATACATTTAATATATGTCTATCATTAGAAATAAAAAAAAGTTAATTAACTACATATAATATTTTTATTTATGTTTATTATTATTTTTGTATCTTTTGCATTAATTTATTTTATTTTATTTCTGATTTTTTTTATTAGACTCAGAAGTCTCTTTATTAAGAAAATAACTCTACAACTTTATAAAGGTATTGTATTTGTTGAAGTATTGTTTTTTAGATTACTTAATTTTGGATTAATTATAATATAAGAAGAAGCCATTACATGGAACAAAATATTCTTTTAATAGGAATTAGAATATAAAAAATCATATCTTATTTGTAAAACTAATGATAAGTATAAAAAATATATATTTTAGACTCGTCTTATATAACTTATTAGATTTTTTTATTTTTTATTTTTATAAAATTCTTTTTTTAAAGTGGATCTCACATAAACTCTTGGTGGTAATACTATTTATGTCTTATAAAAAAGCACATTTTATTCAATCATTCCTTTTAAGGCCTTTTGACTAATTTTTTTAAATATAAAGCCTTTAGTGGACTTGGTAATTCAATCAATCTTGAGTTTTGAAAGTTGCAACTTCTTAACTTTTCTTGTAAGCATTTAAATCCTCTTAAAGTTTTTTTGGAATGCCACAATTTCATCACAACTAGTTAGTTAATATATATATATATATATATATAATTACAATCACATAATGTTCTATCTCAAATGTTTATAGAATTATTACTTTTAATAATAATGTATGTAATTTAGGACACGTTTTCAAATAAAACATTAATTTAAAGTTTATCATTAATCTTTTTAAATCTACAAAAATTTTAATCCCATTATACTATTGGAATCTAATGAAAATTCAACCAAGTTTGTTGGTGAGTTCATGAATGTTCTTCTTGAGTTGCCACCAATGAGGTCTTTTTACAACTTAAGTTAGTAGATTTCTCTTGAGAATTTATACAATTCTCACTATTCTTCGAGAAATATGACAACTTTATTTACACTCTATATTTTTAATTCAAATATGTAAATAGAATTTTTGAGACTACATTTTATTTTTAAACAACATCCTCTTAATCATGTGAATCCTTGTGTAATTATTTTGAATATTGCTTTCTCCCATAAACTTTGTTTCAGATAAATGAGTACTTTATAAACACATTCACAGTATGTAGATGCTAATAGACTATTCATTTGCTCCATTTTGATAGCTTTCAAGATAGTTATGCTTTTTGAAAATTTGACTTTTTCAAAAGAATACAACAATTATCTTATTCCTAGTTTCCATGATTTTTGTGGCTCATATATATACACACACACACATGCATATATATATATATATATATAGTATTGAATGAATTAAAAAGTACAGAGTATTAGGTATTGTACCTAATTCAATGAAGAAGTTACAAATCTTGGAAATCTTTCTGAAGATCTGTTTTAGTACTATCAGAATTGCAAATTATCTTCAAGAGAAGATGCTTACTAACATATACCAGTTTTTAATTAAAACTCTAAACACTATCATGACAATAGTATAACGTCAAACACGTCAGATTTTAAAGCTACCATTACATGATTTGCGGTTGAGGACTGAAAAGACGCAATATAACCCAAAAGTTTTTCAATAGTTTATTGTCTACTTTTATAAACTTTTTACACAAAAATATTATATTATTGAAAAATAAAACTATTCATTTAAGAAATATAATATTATTATTGCTCATGTGTTATTGTAGCAAATAAAATAAGAAATTTAAAAACCAAGTGAAACTTAGAATTTGATTCGACGAGTTAAAATTCAAAAAATACATCAATGAAATTTTTATCCAAAAGAATTCTTTCTAAAAAATGAGTCATTAAAATTAGTCAAACGAGAAAGCTTCAGCACGAACACGCGAGCACAAGAACAAGTGGGAACGTGTTTTTCATCCACATTCATCCTCCGTCCCAGAGGTAACGTGGGAAGCATGAGACAGGGGACGGGTGGCCCTCGCAGAAGC